CCTCCCATTCCCCTCACGGCCCTCCCCCCCCGGCGGTCAATGGCGGCACTGCAACACTCCCGCCCTTTTCACGGCGCTTTCGCGACGGCGCGGGCGGTGCCGCTTTACGGCGGCGGCGGCGCGGGCGGTGTTGCTCTACGGCGGCGGCGGCGCGGGCGGTGTTGCTCTACGGCGGCGGCGGGAGAGGCCGCGGGACCTGCCGAGATGAAACAGAAACGGAAAAATGGGAAAGGTTCGGGAGGGGCTGGAGAGGACGGGAATGGAGCGCCCGGGGGAGCTGAGGGGGGGGCTTAGCCCGGAGAGAAGAGGGGTCAGGAGGGACCTTCTGGCTCTCCACTGCTCCCTGAGATGAGGGGTGAGCCGGGGGCGGGCCCTGCTCCCAGGGAACAAGGGCCGGGAGGAGAGGGAACGGCCTCCAGCTGCGCCAGTAGATGTTTATATTGGATATTGGGAACAATTCCTGCATGGAAAGGGCTGCCCAGCCCTGGCACAGCTGCCCGGGGCAGTGGCGGAGTCGCCATCCCTGGAGGGGTTTAAAATCCCCGTGGATGTGGCCCTTGGGGACGCGGGTGGCCTTGGCGGCGCTGGGGAGCGATTGGAGTTGACGATCGTAAAGATCTTTCCCCACCTTAACGATTCCACAATTCCCTCCGTGTGTGTGCAGTGGGAACACGAGGTGTTGTTTTGAGGAGGAGGGGGGTGTGAAGGGCCAGCCTTGCCCGAGCCAGGAGCTTCCCTGACGGGGCTGGTGTGAATGTTCTGCTGGCCCAGCACGGGCTGGGTTGGGCAGAGGCTGCACCGGGGGAAATAAATGCGCTTTGTTGGTGACGGAGAGTGTTCCTGTCGCGCTCTCTGTGAGGGTGAAAGGGCTGCAGGAGAGCTGGAGAGGGACTGGGGACAACGGGTGGAGGGACAGGACACACGGAATGGCTTCCCACTGCCAGAGGGCAGGGACAGATGGGAGATTGGGAAGGGATTCCTGCCTGGGAGGGTCTGGGCTGGAATTCCCTGAGAAGCTGTGGCTGCCCCTGGATTCCTGGAGTGTCCCAGGCTGGGTTGGACCCACCTGGGATAGTGGGAGGTGTCGGGGTTGGAACTGGATGATCCTTAATGTCCCTTCCCACCCAATCCATCCCACAACTCCATGGAATGCCTTGCAGGGTGGGTGCCTCTGGTTGTCCCCATCATTCCCCAGCCTTGACTGTCCCTGTGTGTCCCTCTGTTCCCGTTCCAGGGGGGCTCAGCCAGGCCGAGCTGATGATGATGACGATCGCCGACGTCATCCAGCAGCTCATCGAGGCCCACGAGCAGGGAAAAGAGGTGGATCTCAACAAGTAAGTCCCTCAGGGATGGCACTGAGGGGGGGATCCATGAGGAATGAGCGTGTCCTGTGCACTCTGTGACATCCAGGTCTCATTTCCACCTCCTGCTGTCCTTTCTCTTGCCATTATCTGGTAACGAAGGCCCCGAGATGAGTTAATTCTGTGGTGATTTGCTCCTTCGTGGGCAGCTCTGAGAGTGCAAAATGGATGAGAAACCCCAAGGATTTTCCATTGCCTTTTTATCTGTCTGCTTGTGTTCATCCTTCAGCAGCCCCAAACTCAATTCCAACAGGGAATGGAAAGATTAATATAAGAACATTGTTAAATCAGATTTTTTTCTTAGCACTGTGTTGTGCATGGAGTTGTTCCCAGAAAATTCTTTATTTCTTTACATGTGTGGAGTAGCAAAACCTGAATTTGCCTCCCTTTTTCTGCTTCTTTGACACGGTGCAATTCCAGGCTTTTTGCTGACGCTGGAAAAACCTCGCGTGAGTTTTCCGGGAGACCGGCTCAGCCACAGGCTGTGTTGTGTTAACCCCATGGAAGGCACGACCTAAATCACAGAAAACAGGCAAGGCAGAGCATTTTGGCAGCTCTCACAACATTTCTTTTCTAAAGCCACCTTTAGGAAAAAAAAAAACACCTCGAAACCCAAATTGTCGGCGGTCGTTCGGAGTTTATTTTCCGTATTTTAATCCCCAGAGCGGGTGGGGATGGCTTTTTAAAAGGTAAAACAGGGAGAACCCAGCGGGGCTGATGGAAATCAGGAGTTCTTTAGCTGACTGGAGGTGTTTGTGCCCTCAGGCTGAAGACCAGGACGTCGGCCAAGTACGGGCTGTCGGCGCAGCCGCGCCTGGTCGAGATCATCGCGGCCGTCCCGCCCCGCTACCGCAGGGTCCTCGTGCCCAAGCTCAAGGCCAAGCCCATCAGAACTGCCAGTGGGGTAAGCAGGGCCACCACCCCTCCTCCCACCATCCTCCTGCCTTCCTCTCCCCCACAGATCGCGTTTCACTGCAGCCAAAGAGCGGGATGTGGAATGTCGGGGGGGGGGGGGATTTAACCCACGTGATGGCCTTTTCTGTGATGTTGTGCCCACGGGGATGTTGCTTTTGGAACGTTTGGGAGGAGGTTTCTCCTTTGGAAAGTTGCCCAAGGAGGTTGTGGGCAGCCCATTCCCTGGAAGTGTCCAAGGCTTGGAGCAATGTGGGGTAGTGGAAGGTGTCGGGGTTGGACCTGGACGAGCTTTTAAGGTCCTTCCAACTCAAACCATCCTGAGATTCCCTGAGGAAAAAGAGGAGGTGTTTCCACACCCCTGTGCATCCTTTCAGCAGGGCAGTTAATCCAGTTCAGTGTAAGACACCTATTTTCTTATAACTGACTCAATTTTACTCTGAAACGTGAAAATATTCAATAACTGGATTCCTACTCCTTGGTATTTTCTTTTTCTCCCTCAAGAGTTAACACCCAGATATATTTTAGGTGGCAGACCGAGCGCGGAGCATCTTAAAATAGCCTCGCAGATGCTCATGAATACACAGCCTGCCGAGATGCACTTTTTATTTCAGTGACTTCAGAAGCAGTGACTGCCGTTCCTCTGCTCTGATTTTTGCCCCCCCCCCCCCTCGCAGATCGCGGTCGTGGCTGTGATGTGCAAACCACACCGGTGCCCACACATCAACTTCACGGGCAACATCTGTGTGTGAGTACCAGAGAAAAGGTGTCCCCCCCCCATCACCATGTGCTGGCACCGCTGGGGCACCCCCAGGGCTGGGGACACTCCCAACAAGGGGGACACTGAGGGACTGGAGCGTGTCCAGGGAAGGGAATGGAGCAGCAGGAGTGGCTGAGGGAGCTGGGGGGGCTCAGCCTGGAGAAAAGGGACATGGGGGGGACGCCCTGGTAGAGTTTGGGGAGGGGGAGTCACTGCAGTGGGACACAGCCAAGCCCTGAGGGGACAGTGGGGGACAGGGAACACCTGGGAGAGCGTGGGGAGTGGGTGTCACTGCAGTGGGACACGGCCAAGCCCTGAGGGGACAGTGGGGGACAGGGAACACCTGGGAGAGTGTGGGAAGGGGTGTCACTGCAGTGAGGGGACACGGGGACATGGGAGGACATGAGGGGACTTGGGAGCCCTGGGAGAGTGTGAGAAGGGGTGTCACGGCCCTGGGACATGGCCAAGCCCTGAGGGGACACAGTGGGGACAGTGGCACCTGGTTTGGAGCAGCCCTGGTGTGTCACAGCCCCAGGGCAGTGCCTGGGGCACTTCCAGGGCTGGGGGCAGTTCTGGGCCCCTCAGACAAGAGAGAGACATGGAGGGGCTGGAGCGTGTGCAGGGGAGGGGCTGGAGCAGCTGAGGGAGCTGGGGAGGGCTCATCCCAGAAAAAAGAGGGATCAGGAGAGACCTTTTCCCACCCCACAACTCCCTGCCAGGAGGGGGGAGCCAGGGAATGGTTGGGCTCTGCTCCCAGGGAACAAGGGCCAGGAGGAGAGGGAACGGCCTCCAGCTGTGCCAGGGGAGGGGCAGGTGGGATATTGGGAACAATTCCCATATGGAAAGGGCTTTCAGGCACTGGAATGAACTTGCCAGGGCAGGGGTGGATTCCCCATCCCTGCAGGGATTCCCAATCCCTGTGGACGTGGCCCTTGGGGACACAGGGCAGGGCTGGCCTGGGCAGTGCTGGGGATGGTTGGACTCCGGGATCTTGGAGTCCTTTTCCCACCTTAACCGTTCTGTGATTCCATGAGCCAAGAGGGCAGTTTTCCAGTATTTCTGTATAATAAATCCAGCATTGCAGGAGCCTTCTTTTGGGGACAGGCTTCCTTTCTGCACGGCTGCCAGGTGGCAGGTTGCTAAAAAAAATCTGCTTATTTTCAGCTTTTCTTCAAGGAACAGACCCTTTTTCATGGGCCAAACCCGACACACCACAGTAGATTTACAGTTTCACCAGCACAGTGATGAGGAGAATGTATTAATTATTATAAATAAGTTGTTTCACTGACCTAGAGGATGCAGGGGTGTTGTGGGTGTCACTGGGGCACACAGAGAGATTCGAGGGGAGTTATAGGAGGGCAGCAGAGCTGAGAAATTTTGGAGAAATCTGGGAATTTTGGGGACTGGAGAGCCCCCTGAGGAGGGGCAGGTGTGACATTCCAGGCTCTGGAATGAGGGAAGGAGAGCACAGATGGAAGGAAAGGCCCCCTGACTGCCAAGGCCTCCTGGCATCGAGGGAGCAGCTCCGAATTTTATTGGGAGTAGAGAAACACAGGCTGGGTTTTCCTTGAGGTGTCTCAGCCCTGCTTGACTTTCTGCACCCTAAAAATCCCTAAAATCTGTGCTGCTTCCAAGCAAATTAGCTCATCCCTTTCAAATGTGCCTGATTTGAGAGATGGTGTCAGTGCAGTTGGGAGCTGCCCCATCAGTAACAATTCCCTGGCTCCTCTTTTTTTATTTCCTGCCAGAGCAGGAGCAGCAGGAGTTCCCAACCCTCCTGTCTGAGATCATCTTTGAGCACTTAGAACGCTGGGTTTGTTAAATATCACGTCCTTAAGCTCAGAAAACAAACGTAGATGAGCTTTCCTCCATCAAAATGGTTTTAAATTCTATAAATTCCTGGAGAATTCGGTTGTGTAAAGGGGTGATGCCTCTATTTTACATCTTTCCACGCCGAAGAAAAATCGTATTTTTCCCTTAAACAAGGTTATGTTCTTCATGGAAGGGTGGAAAATACTGGGAATTGTAAAATTTGAGGGGTTTTGGGGGCAAAAAACTGCATGACTGCTCCCTAAAATAATACCACGTTCCAGAATCCCTCTCATGAGGGGGAGAATTTGTTCACAGCACATTTTTTCTTCTGGAAAGTCTTAACCAGGTTGTTTGAAGGGGGTGTAGCCACTTGACAGGTCTGAACTGGTTTTTGACATCCCATTCCCATTAAAATTGGCTGGAACAACTGTTTGGCACTGTGTTTGTAAACGTGGAAGGGCTGAGTTCCCCTCAGCATTCCTGGATATCCCAGATAGCTGGAATCCCAGAATGGTTTGGGTTGGAAGGGACCTTAAAGCTCATCCTGTTCCAACCCTCAAACCTCTCACCAGCCCAGGTTGCTCCAGGGAAATCCAACCCATCCTTGGACACTCCCAGAGATCCAGGGGCAGCCACAGCTTCTCTGGGAATTCCAGCCCAGCCCCTCCCCACCCTCACAACCTAAAATTCCTTCCCAATATCTCATCTATCTCTGCCATTCCCTGTGTCCTGTCCCTCCATCCCTTGTCCCCAGTCCCTCTCCAGCTCTCCTGGAGTTTCTCCCGTTGGAATTGTTTGAGTTTGATCCCTTTTTTTTCCCTCTCCTTTCACATTGGCAGGTACTGCCCAGGTGGACCCGACTCGGATTTTGAATATTCAACACAGTCTTACACTGGATATGAGGTACTGCTTTGTTCTGCTGGGAGGCATTCCCAACATTCCCAGCATTCCCAGCATTCCCAACGCTCCATAAAACCTGGCTCTGGGTTAGGCTGCTCTTTATTCCTACAAACACGCTCAAAATTGCAAGGATAAAGAACAAACCCAGCCTTTGTAAACTTCAAAATCTGAAGCAGCTCATCTCTAGGAAGTGGAAATTCTGCTCAATCCCTGGGAATGATGAGGAGAATGAGGAAAAATTGTGCCTTCACCTGAGCATATTTTAACATGAAGCATCAGACACTTCCACAGGGATGTGCAGGGGTTTTGGGATGTCTCTCAAAGACGGGCAAGACACAGCCCTGAGCTCCCAGTCCTGACTGGGGTTACTTTCAGTCCTGCCCAACCTGCAGGACTGGATTAAAAAAACCCATAAATTTTGGGGAAAAAAACCCCCTTTTTTTTTAGCTGTTGATGGCTCTGAAATTCCATTCATTCCCTTTTTGTGTCTCTGTTTGCACTGATATCCCCCTAAATATTTACATACCTCTCCAAAATAGTGCCCTGCTGTTGTCTGGGGGAAGTTTAGCAGCAACTGATCCCGTGACTGAATTATCGTGGCTGGTTTTTAACAACAAAAAAAGCTGTGGCAGGGGTGGAAAAGCAGCCAAATGGGATAAAATACAGACTGGATTAATTTGATATACACTGATGCAGCGTCCTTTCAGTAGGGATTTTCTTATTATCCACTTCTCAGGGACTGGAAACTTGTCCCATTAAGCAGGAAAATCCTGGGAATGTGTAACTGCTTTATTTAATTCATGTGGGTTTTTTTTTTCGGCTGTGGTATTAATTTCTTTAATCATTTCATTTAGTCAAACCCACACGTGGGAGTTGTACATGATTAAGAGTCCTCATCCCTCAGAGCTTCGAGTGGAACAGATAGGAAATACCAGGAAAATCCAGGATGCACGAGGTCCTTGGAAACCGTCTTGGACTATTATAAATAGGCTTCCATCAGCTAGTAATTGAAAAAAAGCAAGTTGTCAGGGATTTTAATGGAAGGAATATGCTGGATTTAAAGGGTATTTTGAGTTCAGACTGAGCTCTCAGAGGGTGTTGCTTGGGTAGGCTGTGCAAGTGAAAAGGTCAACAAAAGGAACGGGAGGGGGAAAAGCGCCTCGAAAAACACTCTGTGGTTTTTGTAACAGCTTTTGAGGGCCACTACAGAGATTCTTTGGCTGCTGTAGTGCACTAAAAATTGGAAAAAAAAAATGGTGGTATTTAGATCATGTTGCCACTCAGGACAAAAATGTGTTTTGTTGGAATTTTTTTTATTTGAATATAAGGAGTGAAGTTTGTGTTTGTGTTTGACTCTGTGTGAGTCTGAAGGTCGGTTGGGATTTAGAAGCTGGAGCATCTGGTTTTCGATGCTAAAAAGTTTTTTTTTTTTCAGTCTTTTTCAGTGCTTTTAATAATTAAAATAAAAATAAAAAAAAAGGTTTACAAAACGAATTTCCTTGTGTTTTGCAGCCAACATCCATGAGGGCCATCCGGGCCCGGTACGATCCCTATCTCCAGACACGCCACAGGGTGGAACAGGTACATTTTTTTTTGGGGGGGGGAATGGGAAGGGAAATTCCCTGTGGTTGTGATGAAAATAATGCCTTTTATTTAATGATGCCTGGAAGAAGGGGTTGTGGTCACGTTGCCCGATGGGATCGGCAGCTCTGAATTTTCATTCCACCCGACCTGATCTTCCCCCCATCCCGTGGAAAGATTATTTTTAGACCTTTTTTAAATTGTCCAGCTGTCAATTCCATGGGGGAAATAATGAGTTTGGAACCTCTTAAAAGGTCTTGCACAACACCTGATTGTTAATAGGAGATCCCATTGGTCCTATTCCAGCAAAATTCTACCGAACCTCTCTGGCACTTCCTACTTCTTGGGAATTTAGTACTCAAATAGTGCCTTTCCTACCAAAAATTAATTTATTGGTGTCTCCTCTGGAGAAGCAGAAGATCCAGAGAGTTTCTCAGTCCTCTTCTGGTTTTCTGTTCACCTCCAGACGATCTCCATGGATTCACTGTGGTCCTTTTCTCTCCCAAATTTATAAGGAGAGTTGGTCCTGCAGGGGATTGAGGCAATTTTTTATCTTTTTTTCACTTCTGGCCGTGTCTAAACCGGTCTCAAACTGGGACCAGTGTAACTCCACCAGCTCAAAATCATTCTGCTTTGCCAGGAAAATCCCCCTGCACTGTCTTCTTGCAGTAGAAAAAGGGCTTTTGAACGTTTTGGGGTTTTTTTTAGAAGATCTGTACAGAAACGGTTCGTCATCCATAAAAGATAGAGCGGCTCAAGGAGGAAAAACACAAGGTGGGAAAATCAGGGGTTACAGAGAAGTCCCTGAGACGGGCAAAGACAGCAATTTCTCCATGATCCCTTTAATTTTCCAGCTGAAGCAGCTGGGCCACAGCGTGGACAAAGTGGAGTTCATTGTGATGGGTGGAACCTTCATGGCTTTGCCTGAGGAATACAGGGATTATTTCATCAGGAACCTGCACGACGCCTTGTCGGGTCACACTTCCAACAACGTGGCAGAGGCCGTCAGGTAAGAAGAACCTGGGGTTTTCCTTCAGGGGAATTGTTTCAGAGCAGAAAAATACTGAAGAGAATGATTTTTTTAAATTTTTATTTTTTTTTTTTTAAAAAAAAGGGAATGTTTATCCAAGTATGATTTGGGGGCACAGAACATTTATAGCCCTGCAGAAGACAGACCCCCCCCGCCCCCCGGTCTCTCTCTCTTTCCTGAGGCGGGAATCGCTGATTTCCTCCTGATTCCTTGGCATTCCTTGGGGGGGGATTGTGCCTTTTCTGCCTCATCACCTTGCTGGGGA